AAAAAATCTATGTGACTCTTCCAGAGTAAAATTCAGTAATTAGATTAGACCATGTGTCTCTCAATTATATCTTGAATTAAATAGGAACAGTTCCACTAATACAATGGGCAATAAATAGATAAAATTTCAACAGGGAGCGATTTGAGATGCTATTTTAAGATTATTGTTAACTTCCTCATATGTAGTAGTGATGTTGCCATTATGTAAAGAAGATTTTTATGCCTAGAAAGTGAAAGCTGAAGTGTATGTACAGGTTAAGTATTATTCAGTCTGCAAATTACTACCAAATAATTATAATCAGTATTGGATTACACATACACACTTGTATTCCTATGATTATTTATATATTTATAGTTATACATGTGGAAATATGATAAATATGAACATAAACATATATTTCTTCATATATATCACCACAGACCTTTCTGTGTGTGTACCTGTGTGCATAGTGTGTATGTGTGTGTGTCCATGCCCACATACACATATTGTAGATCCCGAAGGCTCATTTCTCTGTATCTCTCATACACAAACTCCATGGCTTACTTTTCATGAGTTAAAAAATCATCTACATTTATAGAAAAGTGCAGATAAGATGGCCAGCCTGTTACTCCTGCTCCTTGTCCCTCTTCCCTGGCCTTGCCAATTTTCTGTATATTAATCTGTGCCTGAGATGCTGCCTTCTAGAGACTGTATCACTAGAATTCCTTTGCCATGGTATTCAAAAAAGTTGCTATCTGTCATAACACACAGGGGGTCTTGATTATCATCAGGTCAGCACTTTTGTGAAACCTTAGTGTATCACAGGTGGCCACGTGTTTGCATATACCTCATGGACTAGAGTAACCACAGCTACAAACTTTCTGAAGATCACAGAAGGGATTGCTTAGGTGAGTGAGTCTCCATGAAGAAATAAAAAGCATAGATATTTTGCTTAACACTGACTCTGACATAACTATGCTTCCTGTAAACTGTATGGATTGGGATTCTGAAGTAAACTACTAGGTTCTCCTTAAGACACTGATCAGTCCACTGACCTGTGTGACCAGGCCTCTTGTTGATCTGCAGCAGACCTGTGTGTGTGTGTATGTGTGTGTGTGTATGTGTGTGTGTGTGTGTGTGTGTGTGTGTAGTTTGTGTCCCCTGCTGTGTGTGTGTGTGTGTGCTGCCACACTCCATATTGTCCTCCACTGCGCCCGCGCTCAGGTGTACCACACCCTGGGATGTCGGAGGCCAGCACTGACTCCAGCTTAGACACTCAAGCCTCTCTCTGAATGCTCATTGCAGATTGAAGACTGTCCAGCTCTACCTTTTAAAAAAATCTTCTTAATCTCTTTGGCTGTCCCTTGACATACCTCAGGACAGGCCACTTGCTCTCATGAATCTTTCCATCTCTCACCTGCGATTGGCCACCAGGATGCTGGGGAGAAAAGATCATTGTGCAGCTCTGAAGAGAGTCGTGGGCTCTGCCTGGGGTGCCACCGGCCCTTTGGTTTGGGCAAGGTATCCACAGGCTGCTGCCTGCTTCCTCTTTGCATCCACAAAGCCAGAAAGCCATGGCCCCCCTGGTAGGCTCACTGAGAGGAGGAAAGGACACCGCAGAGGCGGCATGTGGTAAATCACCACTGCAGTTGCTGAGGGTGTGTTGCTGTGGCCATTATCATCATTAGTCACGTTGCTTTCTGAATGAAATCCCAGGTGAACGTGGATTTATCGTAGAAGAAAGGCGGCCACTCCATTGAGACCCCAACTCACAGCAGATGTGAGCTGCTGAACCACTCTGTGGCGTCGGGCGGAATCTGGCCTTGCTAAAAGACCACGCTTTCTTCTGTAAATAGGAAATTATTTAAACCCACATCCTTTGGAAATTGAGACCACTTTACTAAATGCATTAAAAGATTGCTTATTAGTATTGAGATAATGTTAAGAGAAAACTATTTCAAGGAGTGTTTCCATAGACCTCCTGCTGGCTGTATTTCAATGAACCTAGTGGATTAAATAATTGCATGCAGGGATATTTAGAAAAAATAATTAATGTTCATGAGCTTGTTTGAAACAATTGATGTTATAGAGATTTTACTATTTTCTTGAACAAAATAACACACACCCTTGAGTTCATTTGCTACATGAAGTGAAACCATTTAAGCAACTAATTAACAAAAAGGTCAGTGCACAATGAATAAATCAACTTCCACCACTGAAAGATGTTTCTCAATCCATCTGTTGAAATTAAACCTTTTGGGCCTTCAAAGCATTTTTCCAAGTGTTTCTTTCTAATCCAAGTAGAAATGTTATTAATTTTTAGAATGTGATGCCAAAAGATCACATGTCAATATTGAATAACACTCTAATTCTTCAGAGCTGAAATGTGTAAAGCTAATCATGCTTGGGAAAAATAAAATCACTAGACAATAGCATGACCTACTGTGAACCCAGCAAGAGAAAGTCTTGCCTGTTGGATATCCAGGGAGATCATCTGAATACCTTCTGCTCCCCATGACAAAAGTGCTTTGGTAATCCTCACAAAATGTGCCACGTGTTTCAAAAGAGCTAGAAACATTGCTTTGTCTCCACTTTTTCCTTTCTTATTAGCTTATTTGTTACTTGAGCTCTATTACATCAATAATGCTGGGTCACCTCACTTCAAATAGGACACTAATCTCCAGGATGTATTAAGACCTCAAAAAACTTAGCACCAAAAACCAAAACCAAAACAAACAAACAAATAACACAATTAATAAGTGGGCTAAGGAATGGAACAGACACTTCTCAGGAGAAGATATACAATCCATCAACAAATATGTATAAAAAATGATCAATAGCTCTAGTAATTAGAGAAGTGCAAATCAAAAGTACTCTAAGATTTCACATCACTCCTGTCAGAATGGCAGTTATCAAGAATATAAGCAACAAGAAGTGTTGGAGAGGATGTGGGGGGGGAAATAATGAAATGTTAGGCAGGTTTCACGAACATGTTGAGATAATATCAAGTTCCTCCAAATCCCTACAAGAAGTTTAACTCTGTTCAAGAGTTTCTATCACCACCTAAAAATTTGAACTTTGATCTTATGGTTACAGTATGCTATTATATTAGTTTACATAAATAATCATCAAGTACATTAATTACTACTTTTATCTAAACTGTCTGCACAAGTCACAACTTTGGCATCTGCCACAAATTTAGTTTTTATGTTTTTGAGACCTTCATTTGTTTTAAACTAGCAACTCTGAATAGAAAAATGAATATCAGACTTGAGAGTGCTACTCAAATGCAGTCAAATATTTTGTATGACTGGTACCAATTACACATTATTGCACCTCACAGATCATACTTCTTTAAATATTAGATTCATATGAGAAGCAACCACATGGATGCTGAACTCTACAGACAACACACTCATTCCTCTCTGTGCATGGTACCAACTCTGCCCACAAGGGGAATGGACTCTGATAATACTGTCCTTAGAGGCAATGAGGATCATTTGAAATTAGGGATTCTCTTTCAGTTTGAGAATCAGCCCTTGATGCCTCTCTCAACTTGTTCCTCTAACGCATGTGAAGATGTTTGTAAGGAATTCAGAATCCCTATGTTCCAAAACACTGATAATACTCAGACATCATGTTGTAGGGACAGATGAGGCAAGGCACTGAAGTTAACAGGAAACGTTTTATTTGGCTGCCGCCAGGTTCAGAGGGCACAGCTTTTGCTGTGATCAATCAATCCCCTGAACCCCGAGTTCAGGGAGTTTCAGAACTTTATACCCAGCATGTAAGGGGAGGGGCTCAGAAATTCACAGTCTGCAGAAGTTCACATAAAAGCAGCTTTTTCTTTCACTGTTTTGGGCAAGTTAACCCTCAAGGACAACCCCTGAGAAGGGGAGAGAGCTGCTTCTCCCCTTTCTTTCCTCCCTCTGCCAGCTGTTACCATGGAGCCCAACTGGGTAACTTCTCTTAAAAATGTAGACATCTCTGTGAAGCCCAGCTCAAGGCCAGAGGCCTTATTTGCACATTTCTACAAACTACTATACTGGATACATTTGTGAAAAACTAGTAAGGGGGTGTCCAGCACCTGGAGTGCTGATTTCTTCCTGGCCAGTGGCCAAGCAAAACAGGGCAACATGAAGATAGGAAGTTTATCTACAGTGAACTCTTTTGCTGACAGTCCTAAAATCAGCCATAGGGAAGATTTCTGGGGAAGCCCCGTTAAGACTTTTCTGTGGAGAAAGGGGGTGCCAGTACAGTCAGAGATTATAAGGATCATCTAAACGATAAGGTGCATGAACTAAAGTAAGAGATCCTTGAAGACTTCATCATCCATGAACTAAGTAACTTCATGCATTATTAACTAAAAATGGAAAGATACTTTCTGCCTGATTTTCCCACCATCTGTCACCTGAGACACATATCAATGCTCCTCTCCACGCTTTTCACTTCATGTCCTCAAAGCCCTGTCCCTATCTCTAGAAACAGGTCGCCCCAGCAGAGGTGGGTGTCTTGGCCTCCAGAAGTCACAGGGAACACCACCTTGTCCGAGGCGCAGTAGGCAGGGGACCAAAGGTCATAGTTTCAGGGTTTCTTGATATGGATGTTGTGGATAGGTCTTTGCAGTTAGAAAGGTGACATTGGAAACATGTTGGTCCATAAGAGCTTAGGCTTCATGGACCCAGCAACAGGAAGCTCTTGAGGCAAGTCTTGCCAAGGGAAATGTTCACCAGCAGGTGTCTTGCCTGGTGAACAAGCTTTGTCCCCGGTGAGAGCTGTCTTCCCAGGGGTTAAGTATCGCTCTGGGTAGATGGATCTACAGAAACATCGCAAAGTAAAATCAAAGGTACTTACTGCTTTGTAGGTTTCTCTTCCTGATGAGAACTTCCTAAAAGAGTGGTCTCCAAGCTTGGACCTGGTGTTGGCTCCCACTGCGCTGCCATTCCAAGGGGGCCCCACGGTGTGTCCTGCTCACCTTGCTCACCCTCCTTGCTCCCCTCAGTACTCAGACCCAGCTGAAATTCCCAGACCCTGTAAATGAGAAGAGAGGGCCCAGGTGGTATTTTCCTCTGATCCTCTAATAAAACATTATAAAGTGGAACAAAATAAATAAATGAGGAACATACTGGCTGTGACTTATTTTTAAATTATGTTATCAGTATCATGAAATAATTAAGCAATGGGGATATAAGGGAAAATATTCCTTCAAAAGAACAATTTGCAAGAGGAAACCATGACAGAGGCCCCCTAACCCCCACCTTTTCCCACTGTCATGTCTGCTTACAGGGACCTGCTTCATATCAAACACTGGCAGGAGCCAGGAGGCAGGAAAACATTTTTGGTTTTGAGGATTAGCACCTGCTTTGGTTTAATTGTCACTTGGTTGTGGACAATTTAGAGAGCATTTTAGTGAATAAATTTTAATGTCTTTAATATTGCAAAGAGGAATGAGAGAAAAGGGACATTGATAGGAATTATGAGACATTGCCACCAATAACAGATCAATAACAGATCATGATTTGGGTGTTTGAAGCTCTACAGTGAATACTATACAGTGAATAAGGTTTATATAACTTATGCACTAATATAAAACTTTTCCCACATAAGTAAAACACAACATTCAAAGTTAAACACTAAATGCTTTGGAAAATAAATATCCTTGACTGGTGAACACCGATCATGAGTCATTACAGGAAAACCAATAACAGTAAATCTGCCTGAATTCCTAAAAGCCGAATAATGCACCTAGGACCATTAGAAAATCGCAAAATTCCCTGTGACGGGTGCACGTTTAAGTGAAACGCCTGCAAGTTAAACATGATTTCCCTAAGAAACCCCCTTGTAGAAGATACCAGCATGCAAATGCTCCCTGCTGAAATGGTGGGAGGAGAAAAACCCAGGGGCTGGGTCGCACATCATGTTTCAAATCAAGCAGCCCACTTCAAAAATATTCCTTCTTGATGATGGAAGGAATGTGAGGCTGCTGCTGTCCTGAAGCCAAAACCAATATAAAGGTCAACATTTGGAGGACAAGGAGCAAAGACTTGATAAGGATCTACCATATCGATAGCAATACTGCTGTCCTGTTGTAGACATCAATACTTATGCCTAATTCATGAAGCTGTAACAACAATATTAATGTAAGAAATATTTGGGCAAAGTGGAGCAAGATGATTTTAATAATCTTTCATTATTTAGAGGCTAAAAATGAAGATTAATTTTAGTCGTCAATAATTTAGAGTGATTAAATTTTGTCTTGAATAATTTAAGAATGCAGGAAACTTCAAGGGTAACTAAGAATCAATGTAGAGTTTATAAGTTATGAACTACATGAACATGAAGTAAAAAATATGAAGTAGAAAGGGGAGAAAGAAACAAAGAGGAGAAAAATGCAATTATCTGGAACTACCATCTCTAAAAGAAGAAAATGACAAATTTATCATTTATAAAAGCTTGTTAAAGCTGACAAAAATACTCGAGGGTAAAGGAGATTTAAATAACACACAGAAATCTAATTGAACAAATGTACATAGAAATGTGTACTGCGTGACTTTTTCCAAAGTAAAAATATCACAAAAATCGTATATGTAGTAGGCCACAAGTATTTAAAAAAATTTGAAGATTAGTGTCTTACAGGTTAGTCCTTTGATCAGAATGAAGTAGTCAGAAGTCAGCAACCCAAAGGTAAGTGATGATTGAACATCAGAGGGAAACCGTACATTAAAGTGTTTCATGGATCAGGTTGGAAGTCAAATGGAAATTATTTTATACACACTCCTTGAACTCCAAATCCAGATGATCCCAGGCTTCAAAGACTTCCCTAATTCATCCAGAGTGGCTTCTAAATCCTGGTAAACCTCTCCCTTCATTTCCTCAATGTGATACACTATTAAGATTCTGTCAAGGTCGTTTTCTCAGTTGCTGCACTAAATCTAATAAACTTAGTTTTGCTTGATTAATGTGTTTTTCTGAAGCCTTCTGGGGAGTCAACATTTGACAGAAGGCATTTCATCTAAAATTACGTTAAGGCATCTTAATAGATGAGCATTACCTGAACCCTGGCTTTCTGTGTATTCAGTGAGTTGGGAAGAATGGGATTCGCATGGTTAATATTCTTCTGCTTATGTATGAGAAGTGGAGCTTAAATCTTTTCCCACTAAAAGTAATCAAAAAGTAACAATGCTACCTAACAAGACATCAGTGATGTTGTTAAATACATTATGGAAATTTAAAACTTTAGTTGCATACATTTAAATAATTGATAATTCAGGTTGAAAAGCAATTATGCAAATATCCAAGCAAAGAAGTCAGAAAGAAATAGAAAAATACAATCAGTGGAGAAAGAAAATAGTAATAAGAGAAAAAAGATGTAAAATAGAAGTCAAAAGACATGTTAGAAAAAATAAAAAATGACTCTGCATGCACTAAAATACTTTAAAAGCAAGACCACTTTTTCTAAATTGATAAAGCAACTTATAAATTTAAAATATGACTGATGAAAAGGAGTCAAAGTCAGTTAGCCTGAAATTGAGGCCTTTCAGAAAGTTGTAGTCCTTCCTCAGTGGTCTCCAAAATATAAGACACAATCCAACTTCTCTTCCTAGAGACTGAGTCCATCCATTAGAGACCTAGAGACAGGAAGTCCCTGTGCTGAAAGAACTCATAATAACAAAGCTTGCCTGGTGCCTCTTTACCATTACATCTGGTGCTGACCTTTCAAAGCCTTTTCCCAGTTTCAGCTGTTAATTCTCTGCTTCTAGAATGGAGAGTGCAAGCTCACTATGACAGGTGAATGGATAATTTAGTAGCCACAGATATGAGCATGTGTGGGATGCATTGTTTACCTTACATGACTGCTTCCTTTGCCATCCATCCACCCATCCATCCATGCACCCATCCATCCCCCCATCCATCCATCCATCTATCCATCCAATCCAATCCATCCATCCATCCCCCCATCCATTCATCCATCTATCCATCCAATCCAATCCATCCATCCATCCACCCATCCATCCATCCATCTATCCATCCAATCCAATCCAATCCATCTATCCATCCATCCATCCATCATTTAACATTTTTTAAATTTTTGTTATTGAGCCCAAGAGTATAAACACCACAGGGACAAATAACAAAAGACATGATTTGGAAGTTGATATTCCAATAAACAATAAAAGAAACATTCATAAGCTCAATTAAAAGTACAAAGAGAGTCTGTTCTTAATATTCATCTAACTTTTATATGGAAATCAGAGTCTTTGCTGTCCTGGGAAAACTCGGCATTCTTCTTCTCTTATTGGCACAAAGAGTCAAATGTTGACCTCTTCTCAATGGGGTACCACTGTCTGAAAGAGGCTCAATTGTGAGGGGAGGTTGAATATTTTCTATTCAGGCGTAGAAATATGACTCAGATGATGCATACTAGAATTTGATGATCTAAATATTCATCACCTCTTCATCAAATATTGATTTAAGCCTTAACTTTGTATATCAATGCTATGGGAATTTTTATGTGTTGGGTTTGTTGTGTCCCCCAAAAGCTCATGTATGAGACAATGCAAGAGTGTTCAGAGGTGAAATAATTAAGTTATGAGAGTCACAAACTTATCAGTGAATAAATCCACTAATTGGGATGAGTTGGGTGTTAACTATAGGCAGGCAGGTTATGGCTGGAGGAAGGAGGACACTGGAGGTATGACTTTGGGGTTCGAATCTTGTCCCTGGTGAGTGGGGCTTTCTCTGTTTCCCTGCGGCCATGTCCTGAGCTGCTGCCCTCTGTCATGCCCTCTGCCATGATACTCTGTCTGACTGAAGCCCAGAGCTATGAAGTTCACTGACCATGGGCTGAACCTCTGAAACCATGAGCCCCAAATGAAGTTTTCTTCCACCAATTGTTCTTTTCATTTCATTTGGTCACAGCAGCACAAAAGCTGATGAAAAGAGCAATACTAAGCATTCTTTTGCTTTGGCATAAACTGTCACCCAGGGAAAAATATTTGAAAGAAAAATCTTGGATTTATGAATATGTGCATAAATATTATAGAATAGCCCTGAAATTATTCCTGCCTCTTAAACAATATGTGTCCATATTAAGGAAGTAGTCCTAGCCAATCATAGTCATTGATTTTGAGAGGTATTTTTTAAAATGAAGAATGGTATTTTAAATGATAAATATTTTCCCTATACGTTTTTTGGAAATTCCCTTTTTGTCCTGTTTTCTATAAAGTAATTTTTCATATTCTTACAGATTTTTGTATTGGATTTTTCTTTTTATTATTTTTTCTTCTGAGCACTTCATGAATAAAGCATTTACCTTAGGATAAGTAAAAAATTTTTGAGTCTTGTTTAATTTTTTGTACGTAATTGCAAGTTTTTCTCTCATAGATTCTACCCTATGGATATGATTTTTATTTTTTCCTTTATCATTTCCTGTCTTTCGGGGAAACTCTTAGACATTTGGGAATTAAACAAGTTGTTTCTAGTATTTTGAAATAACTTTTATTTTGCTTTGTTTAAAATATTTGAATGGTGAGAACATTATTCTGCTGAGGTGAGCCGATCTTGTTTATACTTATTCATGAATAAAAAGCTACATACCTTTTGTTGGGAGACATATTTGTTGTTGAATACTCACCTTTCTTCATTTCATCTAACATCTTTATTTTTATTGATTTATTTTTAAAATCACATCTCAATCGACAATAATTGCATAAGTTTATGGGGTACAATTTGATGTTTTGCTACATGTTTGCACTGCAGAGTGATTTAAATCAAACTACTGAAATCCATCACTCATATGCTTTTGTGTATGTGGAAACATTTAAAATCCACCTTTTTAAAGCCACTTGCAAATACACATCATAGCTTGGATCTTGATTGTCCCCCCTAAGGCCCACGTGTCAAAGGCTCATGCACCAACTTGGCCCAGTGCAGAGGCTGTGGGACCTAGGAGAGCTGGTACCCAGCGGGAGGTTGCCAGTGGTCAGGGGCACTTCCTTGAAAGCTTCATGGGATTCCTTCCTTTCTCTGCT